TGTTGTAAGGTGAAAAAATATTACAACATATTCAATTCAATATTATAAGTCAAATTGAAAAAACCGCATGCGATAAAATATATGAAAAAATAAAATAGGCACAAAATATTACAAAATCCATATTAACATCATAAGTGGCATTTTTTATGCGACTTCGTTTAGACTTTATTCATTTATGCCAAGAGGGCATTCTGAGTTGACAAAATATGTCAAAATCGGCCCAACCATTCTTGAGATATAAACATTCTAGCTAACATCCCCTCCTATTTCGCTACATTGTTCCGATATATTTACTATTGGCATCCATGTAAGAATTGACCTTATCATTATCACTATTTGTTATTTCGCCGGGATTAAACACATTCGCTGTTTAATGGAAAATTTGACTTTTATTTAACACAAATGTTATGGCCTATCTCACCCACTAAATATTACCCCATGACCTTCAAAATTGGAAGTCTTCTGCCCAGCCCTAAGCTCTAGCCCCGTGCTAACTTCCGCGTCGATTGGTCTATAATTGCAACAGCAAAATTTTTCAGTTTTTGGTCCATTTTAGCCCCTTAATAATATGCGATCATCTCCAAAAGCAATGTACTAAAAATTTAATACTTTGTATTGGACAAATTTAGAATGGGAGTCAGTGATGAAATGCAGGATAGATGTATCCAAAGTTTTTTGAAAATTCGATCATTAAAGCTACGAAAATTTCTAAAATGGTACCATTTGATATTATGTGAATGGATAATGCTAAAACCTTGAAACGTAGTATGAAAATCAGGGTTAGAAGGTAGTGAAGTCAGTAAAGGTGGTTTTGAAAGTGTGTACCAAGTGTGCGAAGTCTCCTAAATGGTAATTAATTTTGAACAGTTTGGTTTAGGGTGAACGTATGAAACTAGAATTTTGAAATTTGGTATTGGGGTCCCTGTTGGTGCTCAACTTGTGATAAAGAGGTGGTTTTGGAAATGGCAACTGAAAGTGCACGAAAAGTACTAAATAGTACTATATTTGGTACTATTTCACATTGGATGAACAGATGGTGATTGACATTTTAAATTTGTTATTAAGGTCGCTGTTTATCTATAGCCTGGACGTATTGAGGTGTTTCCTGAAGTGTGTACTATAATATTTCGAAAAGTACTGAATAGTACTATATTTGGTATTGTGTGAAGAGATGGTTTTGAAAATCATTCTGGAAATTTACGAAAGGAACAAAATACCACAAAGTGTGCCGTTCGAGTTGGGATAGATATGGACATTTGGTATCGAGGTCCAAGTTGGTATCTGGGATGGAGAGAATGAGGTGCTTTTGGACATGCGTAGTATAACCGTCCTAAAAGTATGGTAATAAATTTTGGATTGGGCTCAAGAAAGAGCTGGAATTCTGAAATTTGATATGGTGGCCATTGTTGGTATGTAGTTTTCAAGGAAGTAGGTGGATTTGGGAATGCGTACTATGATGAAAAGTACTAAATGGTACTAAATGATATGAAAAGTACTAAATGGTACTTAACTTGCCGTTGTGTGATTGGATAGAGTTTGAATCCTGAAATTCGATATTTAGGTCACTTTTTCAATCGATTGTTTTCAGTTCCCTACCTTGATTTCATTGTACCATGCGATGCATGAAGTTCTGTTTGGAATTTTGTCCAAGAAATAATGAGCATTGGGCATTTTATAGCTCCAATATATCTTCAATCGACTTCGGGTTAATTGTGCACCCAATAGCCAATATAACTCCAAATGACCTGGATTCTGGCAAATTCTACCGAAGATTTGGATATAGCCCTATATATATCTTACACCGACTTCGGGTTAATTGTGCACCAAATGGCTAATATCAGTCCAAATGACCATAATTTTGACACGGCCTACCGAATTCAGTCTAGAACTTTCATCCGATTTGTAAATATATTTATTTTTGAATTCGAATATTAATACCAATTTATTTAATTGACTTGATTTCTTGAGAACTGAAATTGATGGCGGGTTACATGGAAGTGTAGTACCGAATCATATGCTGGCGAAACGGAATAGATGCTATCGAAATAATTTAACGCGGTCACACCAAAGTAAAAAGATAATTACTTTATTAAAATCGCCAAAAAATCACGAAAAAGAGATCTCATTTCAAAAATATTCAAATCGGGGAAAAAATCGAAAAAACAATTTTTTTCAATGGAATCGAATTTTAAGTTAATAGTACATTCTATTGACAAACTTTGTAATGATCTTTAAACAAGTTGAAGATTCTTTCAATTTGTTATTCTTCTTTTGTCAATTTTTTTCAATTTGCATTATTATATTGAATTCAGTGGATTTTTTGTGAACAAAATAAAGAATAATTTTCACTATATACAATTTTTCACCAAAAAAAATGAAATAAGGGCCTACATCGTGGTTCAGCTGGAAGATGCGAACACATTTAAACAAACAAAAATGACCGAAAAAGCCAAATGGGGCTCATTTCAAAGCGTGGACCTACTTCTTCCATGTGACAATAATCCGTCCAGAGCTTAAAATACAAAATTCTTTGTGAATACAATTAGTAAAATACCAAATATGAAGGGTGCCAAATAGTAGAGCGAATGGGACTTTTAATAAGAAAAGGATTTCTCTCCTTCCAGACATTCTTCCTAAACATACAAGATACCTTAAATCGCTTTTGCAGCTTAGATATCGATCATAACTCACGGATAAGGATAAAATCCGGTTTCATATTTATATAACCATCGTATGATTTAAGCTATTTTTTTCATTTTTTGGTCCTTATTTGGCATCTTTGCTTCTAAGGAGGTAGAGAACCTCTTCGCATAAAATTTGAAATTTTCAGAGTAGGACCCATATTGGTTTTGACCACATTCATCAATTGATTTGGCTAAAAAATTGTATTTATGCTACCCTGGGTGTAGAGAACCATCATACAGATAATTGCCACATTGGAATTTATTTAAGTAGAGTCCCTACATTGGAGTATCCCCAAGTCCACTTTCTCATCTAATGTGTGGTCAGAAAAGAAAATTTTGTATTCTGTTGAATTTGTAACCCCCAAGAGAATATTGGTTGGGTACGTAGATTTGGGATGTACATCTATATGAAATAAATTGTGGAAACATGAACAAATTACAAATATAAGAAAGTAGCACGGGACCGAATATTTGTTGAATCATTGTTGAATTATACTATGATGAAAAATATGGACTTTATGGGGTCTCCAACTTAAAAAATAAAATAAAATTAATCCTCATCTTACGGTAATGGGTGTAAAATAGTAACTATATTTGACTGTTCTGAAATCATTCTGCCCTTAATTATGAGGTGGATAAAACTATTCTAACTTATTTAAATTACGCGAAATTTTTTCAGTTTGACATTCTATGTTTTTCTGCTATATTTTTGATTTGGCCTCTATTTGTCACCTTGGATTATAAGGGGTAGAAGAAAGTTTTCAATGTAGGTCGATGTTTCGGAGTAGTGCCAATATAAAGGTACTTCCTGATTTTAACACATTTCAAAGGATTTGGTTAAAAATGTGTATTTGGGGTGTGAAAATCTTACACGAACTTTTAAAATTTTCACGCTAGCTTTAATATACGCAAAAATATTATGATATGCTGAGATTAATAAAAAACGGAAACTCCTTTCACTAGGATTTTTATTATATCCTCCTCCATAGTAGGGAGGATATGTGATAGGATATGTTTGTCGTATCGTTTGTAACACCTAAAAATACCCATTTTAGACCCATATATGCATAAGCATAAAATTCTATGTCGGCTTAGGACTGGCATCCGTCTGTAAAAATCCTTCTAGCCTTCGAACGAAATAAAGAAGTTTGTAAAACTTTACAGCAGGATTTTTGGTATTGTACTAAAATGTCAGATTTAAAATGTTGTAGGTGTTTAAGTCACAATTTGTATTGGCAGTTTGTGTTCCCAGTACGTAAGAAGCATCCTTGTAGAAATATTTTTATGTACAGGGTGAGATAACAAAAAAAAAAAAAAAAACTCCAACAAAGTCAAACGCCATAATTTTTAAATTATTTTTTAAATGTTATTGAATGAAAGCAAACAATATCGGATATAGCATCAATTTTAGAATAAGTTTAGATTTGTTCGAATTGTTCACCTTTGGCACGAATTATGGCCTTCAAACGGCCAATGAAACCGTCACACGCTGGCCGAATGTTGCTCTGCGGTATTTTGACACATCCTTAGATTTTGGTGGCCATTGTGCGCTGGAAATGAAGCAAGGAACCTCATTTTGTAATAATTCTTGGGTGGCGCGTGCTAAGTGCGATGGTGCTGAGTCCTGTTGGAATGCCCAAGGTCTGCGGCCAAAATGTTTGAATATTTTCTCATCGGAGAAAACCACATTCGGCAGTTCACCACTTTCAACTCTTAGCTCTTTTGAGTCTATTTTCATATTGTTGCGGTGTAAGTTCTTGCACTTTCTGCAATTTCAGTGGCTTTTACACCGAGCTCATTTTTCAATGTTTGCCGAATGGAATATTGCGATATGTTCAGCTGAATTTGGTTTCAGTTTTTTCATCTCACCCTGTAGGTGAAAGTTTTGGTGTAGTCTCCATATAATTGTACCTTAAAATAATCGCTATTTTTATGACAGAAAATTACCTGAACAGGTCCAGGATTTTATAAAGCCCTCATATAAACATGGCACTGAATGTATAAAAATGTGAAGTTCTCAAGTCTGAATTCAATGTAAAACGCTCGCCGAACTTATGAAAATCTAGATTATTAAATAGTTATTGTTTGACAATTTAAGAACAATCCTCTCCTTAATTCTTTATAATCTGGATGAATACTTGGCATAAGCCATATCTGGGTGTAGTGGTAGTGGCAGTTCGATGATCGCTAAGCCAAATCATATCGAAGATATTACACTAGGTCTCATGGTAAGTTTAAGAAGATAAAGTCATGTCAAATAACAATATTTAGCTCTGCATTTTCTGTTACTTACCTTGTCAAATTCTACTGCATTACACAGACATTTTGCTAGTTCCATACTAAAAACAATTTTCTTTTTGAAATTTTTAAAATTTAAAATATTTTTTTTTTTGCGTAATGGAAGAAAATGGACATTTCCAGAGAATTCAAGAAATCTGTGCCCCTTTTGAAGTTAACATCGAACAATTGTTTCAAATTAAGAATCAAATCTTGGATGAAATTGCATCGAATTTAGAAACCAAATCAGAATACCAAAAACCCACAAATCTTAAATGTTTCAATACATTTCTACAAGATTTTCCACAAGGTTGTGAACATGGTCGCTCCATAGTTGTGAACGTAGAAGAAGAAAATTTTCGTATCCATTTATATCAAATGAGAGGTCAAAGAGAACCTCTCGTGCAATCTGAATTTTATGAAATAAACTCGAAATTATTGGAAAATGATGAGAATGAGCTGTTCGTGCATATTGCAAATACATTGCAGATGTTCTTAAAAAAGCTGCAATTAGAACGTGAGCCATTGGCCGTGGTCTTTGTGTTTCAGTTTCCTTTAAACAACCAAAATTCGGAGCGAGTTAATTTCACAGAATATACTAAACGTTTCGATTTCAAGAACCAAAATAAAGACGATATTGATGTGCGTAAGTTGTTGGAGTCTATCATAATGACAAAATGTCCCAGGACCCAGGTGGTAGCAGTGATATCGCAAGCCACAGCGGTGTTTTGTGCGGCAACCTGGAAATATCCAAATTGTGCTATTGGAGTATATCTGGGTTCTGAAGATACCAGCATGGCTTATAAAGAGAAAACTGGAAACTTTCCCTCTCCAAATAATCCCTGTCCCACAAAACCTTTCGTTGCTGTCCATTTGGACTGGGGAGCATTTGGTGATAACGGTTGCCTTGATCATATACGTCATGAACTGGATATAAAAGTTGATAAATTGTCCCCTTTTCCCAGAAAACGTATTTATGAGAAAATGATTTGTGGTCAATATGTTGGAGAACTGGCGAGACAAATATTTTTAATATGTACCCAGCAAGGCTTTTTGTTTAATGGAGAAATAGGAAAACAACTCATTACGCCCTTCTCTTTTAATACACGACATATCTGCGAAGTGCTGGCTGAATCTCCAGGCAATTTCGACAACACCCGTTTAATGTTTGATCGTTTGGGCGTAATGAAACCAACGGATAGTGAATGTTCAAAAGTCCATTTTATTTTGGAATGTTTGGCAAAACGTTCTGCCGCCTTGTTAGCAGCTGGTTGTGCATGTTTGGTGGATAAAATATCTGAACCTGATATTCTGATTGCCATTGAAGGCAGCTTCTATGGCAATTGTTTGATTTATCAAAAATTTGTAAGTGAGTATCTAAGACAATTGACCGGAGAGGGAACAAGATTTCAATTGAAAAATGTGGAAGATTCGGTTGGTCTCGGCGCAGCAGTTGTAGCTGCCATAACTGAACAACAAAAATTCCTTTATCAAGCAGAGAAGGAAAACGAGTCGGATGCACTTGGTACTGAGACGACAGAAACAACTGGAAATGAATTGTAAAAAAAAAACCATTTTTAAGTGTATCAAACTTGATCATTTGTGTTTAAAATGGGAAGTTTTACTGGCATTTATAAACCCGCATTTAAATATATATTTTTGAATATGTATATTAAAAATATCATCAAACCACACGAAGGTCTTCTACTGCAAGAGGATCTCCAAAAGCGCATCTAGTAGAAATTTTCCAACTGTATTCTGCCATAACAATCTTAATTATTCTATCTTCAAAATTACCAAATGTAAAGGTCAGAGTACATAAGCAGTTTTGTGACATATCATAAGGGGATGCCAGAGTCACACCCGAATCCTAATGTTATTTCCCCTCACAATTTGGCACTGAAATGTCTAGATGGATGACATGCTGCTTATGTACTCTCACCTTAAGTCTTCAATCAATAGAGCACCTCTCTTAGAACTTTTAGAAATCATAATAATTTGGAAAAGACCGGGAGACTTTCCAAAAGTTTTTTCTTCGTGAAAGATTTATTGCACCTCCAAAAGACTTCTTATCTTCCAAACGTTTTCTTTACATGAAAAACTTTTCAAGGAACGTTTAAGAAGTCTTTTATGGATAGAGAACAATCTAGAGGCAAAAAATGTCGGAAATAGCATCAAATTTTAGAATAAGTTTAGATTTGTTCGCCAACGCCAATGAAACCGCCCGAATGTTGCTCTGCGGTATTTTGAACCATTCCCGGCGAAGCGCTTGTTTGAGGTGATCGACACTTTGATATTTTTTAGTGCCAACCTTGCGTTCCAAAATACTGCAGACACAATAGTCCAGCGGATTGGTATCCGGAGATTTTGGTGGAGGAACCTTATTTTGCAACCATTCTTGGGTGTCGCGTGATGAGTGCGATGGTGCTGAGTCCTGTTGGAATGTCCAAGGCTGCGGCCAAAATTTTTGCGAGCCCAAGCCTGTAGTACACCCTCCAGAATATTTTCACTATAATATTCGGCATTTATTTTGATGCCACGGTCGATTAATATGAGCGAAGATCAACCATCGGCTGTTATGGCGGCCCACACCATGGCTTGAGTTCTTTTGGCCAACCGAAGGTGCACATTTTCAGCTCACCTATTTGGCACGTAAACACGAGAAAACCAAATTCGACAGTTCACCACTTTCGGCCAAGCGAAACAACTCTTTAGCTCTTTTGAGTCTATTTTCTTTCTGTTGAGGTGTAAGTTCTTGCACTTTTTGGAATTTCATTGGCTCATTTTGCCAAATGGAATATTGCGATATGTTCAGATCACGAGCCATTTTTCAGCCACTGCGAGGCTAGTTTCGATCAAGTCGCTTCTTCACTTTTCGAACCATTTCTGCTGATGTTGCTGTTTTCTTTCCTCCACTTCCTTGACGCCGGGTTACGCTACCAATATCACTGTAACGAACGATGGTACGAGACACAAAAGATTTATTCACATTTAAATGCTGGAGTGCTCTAACGATAGCCCCTTGTTGTTTTCCAGCCAAATGTAAAGAAATCACACTGTCAGGCTTGAATTCTATCTCGAATAACTTTTTTCTGGAAAATTCTCACCAAAATGCTTTTGTACGCTTGTAAACAATATAATGAGCTGTCACTGGAATAATTTTAACAGCTGTCGTACGAGTGGTTTAGAAATGACAGCAGTCTGTTGTAGTTTTTTTCATCTCACCCTGTACAAAATTTAGTACCATTCAGTACTTTTTAGTGTGTATTTCCAAATCCGCCTCCAAATCGCCACTCTACTCACTAACATTGATCCTAGCCCCAAATTTCCGATTTCAAGCAGAATCCATTCCATTCACGCAATACCGCAATTAGTACCACTTTGTACCTTACGTATGCTTGCTGAACCATTTCCATATCCAACGTATCCTAACCAAATTGCACAGAATTTAGTACAGCTACAGCAACTACTTATATCAACACTACTTAATTTATATACCCAATATCAAGATTTCAGCTGTATCGGTACCAAATGGTACCATTTAGAAGCTTAGTATAATTTTCGAACTATTCGCAAAATAAAAGTTCGTATTTCCTGCATTCCCTAAAATTTTAGCTCATCCAGTTTGTTCAATACAAATTATGCAATTTTTAGTACCCTTTTAGGTGGAATTTCCAATCAGCCTTAACGCACCAAGACTGACCCTCGTATTCTAGCTTCAACCTTTCCATTTGGGTGTTGATTCTCAGTCATTCATTCTTTAATTTCACTACTCTTTTACATATATAGATTCCCAATTAGTACGAATAAAACAATTTCGCCTTTTCGAGTTAATCTTTGCTTCCTAACATTGACATTCAAAATCATCATTCCTGACCTTTTACTGACCATGGCTATCTGAGAATCATTCACTTTGAAACCGTCTATGACACTGCTAAATGAACAGGTCTGTTATGGCTATGCTACAGTTTTCATATTCAAAAATCACCATTTCTGTTCACCATGACAAGCATAAACCATCGAGGCACAGACACACACAAACAGTTTCATGCATTCATCTCCTGGTTATCTTTTTTTATCCCCTCGAGTTATGTCCGATTAACTGGTATTTGATTATGAGGTTTTGTCATTGGCATTGCCATAACTTTGAATCTTTTAATCCATACCTGACTGTTGTTATCCTGCAGATGATAATTTTCCTATCAACTCTTCTCCTCGGTAGTTAATAGTCAGCCACAATTTTTGTTAAACATCTCCCGTTGTTTTCCACTTAACTTGAAGCTGTTGCTACTGCTCCAGACAACCAACAGCTAGACAGCCACTAGGGCAGACATAGATCCAGCATCCAGGCATGTAGTCATCTGTTATTTCCTAACTAACCATATGGTCGACTCATACCACCAATCATTGCCATCCACCTGATTCATTTAATAATGTCACACACAGAGAGGGAGAGAAAAAAAAAACGACAACGAAGAAGAATAGGACACAGGAGGATAACACAGAAAGATAGTGCCTACATACTCGTACAATGCGAATTGAGCAACTGGTAGTAGGAGGCCAAGAAATGAAAGAATAGGGAAAAACTGCATGGTCGCCCACACAAACACACATAGACTCACACCTAAGCATGGATGCGACTCGATCTTAATCAGATTATTTAACTTTATACGCTTCGTGTCTACGGATGTCTGTAAGATATTATCTATGTGTGTGTGTACGTTTATGATACATGCATATGTATGTAAGTATTTGTATTTCAAAATCAGTGTGTGTGTGTGTGTGTGTGTGTGTGTGCTGGTAAAAGAGTGGGAAATAAATTCGATTAAACTTGTGGCAATACTCTGCCGTGGCAGTGTCACAAAGAAAATGTAGCCAACGTTTGTTATGATGCGTTGCAACAAAACACTCACACCTTCCTGGGGGAAAACGCTACGATTTTCCCTCATGTGCTGTAGTATAAAAATAGCAGACAATTTTTACTAACTTGAGATATTTTATGAAGAGAATGCAATATGAGAAAAATAAAATTGTTGAATAGAAAAGTTTTAAAAAAATCATAATTAGCACGATCTCAATTATCAAATCATAGAAAAACAAGGGGTCTACTCATAAGAGATCAGTCGACAATATAATACTGCTCATGACAAACCGTAAGACTTTCTGTTTATTGAAAATTATTTGTAGACTCTTTAAAGTCTTTTCATTTAAGAATAAGTAAAAAAGCTGTAAGTTCTGCAGGAACGAATTTGGCAATTTTCAAAGAAATAAAATTCATTAATTATTCTGTTAAAATTTTAAAAATAAAATAATATTAGTGTCTGTACGACGACGTGGACCTGCATAGGCAACATTTATCATAAGCCATTACAAGATTCAAATGCGAACTTGAAAAAAATTCGGTGAATAACGTAGTTAAAATCATCAAAATACCGAATACTATTATATGGGGGCTATACCAAAACGTGGATCTGCACAGACAATTTTCTGTCATAGGCTGTAGCATCCATTACGAACGTCAAATACCAAATTTGACACGATTCCGGTGAATAATGTCGCTAAAATCATCAAAATACCAAATACCTGGAGTTACCCTTATATGTGGACTATACAAAGACGTGGACCTGCACAGACAATTTTCTGTCATAGCCTAAAGTACCCATTGCTAACTTCATGCAGACATAATACACATTTGAGTAAAATTTTATCAACGTACTTCATTTCGTTCGGAAGCTAGAGTGATTTCCACAGATGGTCGGACATCGCTAAATCGACATAAAATTTTATGCTCATCAAGAATAAAAATACTTTGTGGGGGTCTAAAATGTATATTTCGAGGTGTGACAAGCTTAATATACCCTTCATACTATAGTGGAGGATATAAAATGTTCATGAAATATTCCGAAATTACGAATTTTTTTGAAAGATATTACTTTGAGGTTTTGTATGAGGATTATTCGAATGGAGGAAAGTTTTAAGAACAATATTCGACCTTTTAATTGGAAATTAATTAATTCCAAAAAATCGAAAATTAGTTGATTAACCTTTATATTTGGAGATTCGTTGATTTAAGTCAAAAGCATTCAAGATATACTGTATTTTTTGCCGAAAATTACTTATTTTCTACTTAAAGGAAGCTTCCCACGGAAGACTAAAATGTCTTCTCACAATAGAGCAAAATGTCATTCTTTTCTTTCGGATATCAAAAATGGTCCTCCTGCAAAAAAAAACATGAGGGACCCCGACACAGTGGATCAAGACCAATGGATGGTCTCACATAAAATCATTTGTATTCTCATTGAAAATCAAAAGGTAACATTAGGTAATCTAATAAGGCCAACAAGTAATCTCATAATTTGAATAGGTCTTACTAATGATCAAAATGTCTTCCCAGCGAAAAGTTCACCTTAAAATCTTAGATTCGTTCCAACTGTTCGTGTTAGGTCTTTTTAGTACTCAAAATGGACAATTTATTCAGTTTGACAAATTATTTTTATCAAAACTTCATACATTGTACTAAATTTTCAGACTTATTGAAGTTTTTCCTTTTTCGAAAAGAATATTAAGAAAATGTTTACCTTTTGCACCAAAAATCTCAAAATCTTTCTATTGAGGTTTATCGAGCAGGTTATTAGTGAAACCATTGCGCAATGGTCCCACATTTAATTTT